CACCAGGGGGTGAAATCCTCGCGACCAATGGGAACAAACCCAACCCAGGCTCAAGCCGCACATTGAGAAATGCACGGCTCGAGCCAGGGACAGGTAAGTTCACTCTCACACACACACACAATGCTTTCTGTTTGTTATCCTTTCGTATAGTGGACAGTTGTTACCTCAGATTTGCCTACAGGTGGCACACCACTCAGAGAGGACCTTTGAGTTGAGAGTTACCACTCTTTCATTGAGAGTGGCTGAGGCAGCAGAAGGAACGAAGGAGAGGCAGAGCAGGAGAATCAAGGCAGAGAAGAGCATAGCGGTAACTCCGACACCTCCACCCTCCACCCTCCACCCTCCACCCTCCTCCATCCATCCTCCACCCTCCACCATCCTCCCTCCTCTCTCCACCATCCACCCTCAACCCTCCACCCTCCACCCTCCACCCTCCTCCCTCCTCCCTCCTCCCTCCTCCCTCCGCCCTCCTACCTCCACCCTCCACCCTCCACCCTCCACCCTCCACCCTCCTCCCTCCTCCCTCCTCCCTCCACCCTCCACCCTCCTCTCTCCACCTTCCACCCTCCACCCTCCACCCTCCTCCCTCCTCCCTCCTCCCTCCACCCTCCTCCCTCCAACCCCCACCTTCCACCCTCCACCCTCCTCCCTCCACCCTCCTCCCTCCACCCTCCACCCTCCTCCCTCCGCCCTCCTACCTCCACCCTCCTCCCTCATCCCTCCTCCCTCGTCCCTCCTCCCTCCTCCCTGCGCCCTCCTACCTCCACCCTCGACCCTCCACCCTCCACCCTCCTCCCTCCACCCTCCACCCTCCACCCTCCACCCTCCACCCTCAACACCTCCACCCTCCACTCTCCACCCTCCTCCTTCCTCCCTCTTCCTTCCTCCCTCCTCCCTCCACCCTCCTCCTCCTCTCTCCACCCTTCCTCCACCCTCCACCCTCCACCCTCCACCCTCCACCCTCCTCCCTCTTCCCTCCTCCCTTCACCCTACACCCTCCACCCTCCACCAACCTCCCTCCACCCTCCACCCTCCACCCTCCACCCCTCCACCCTCCACCCAACCTTCCTCCTCCCTCCTCCCTCCACTCTCCACCCTCCACCCTCCACCCTCAACACCTCCACCCTCCACCCTCCACCCTCCTCCCTCATCCCTCATCCCTCCTCCCTCCTCCCTCCACCCTCCACCCTCCTCCCTCCACCCTCCACCCTCCTCCCTCCACCCTCCACCCTCCACCATCCTCCCTCCTCCCTCCACCATCCACCCTCCTCCCTCCTCCCTCCACCCTCCACCCTCCACCCTCAACACCTCCACCCTCCACCCTCCACCCTCCTCCCTCCTCCCTCCACCCTCCACCCTCCACCCTCCACCATCCACCCTCCACCCTCCTCCCTCCACCCTCCACCCTCCTCCCTCCACCCTCCACCTTCCACCCTCCACCAACCTCCACCCTCCACCCTCCACCCTCCTCCCTCCTCCCTCCACCCTCCACCCTCCACCCTCAACACCTCCGCCCTCCACCCTCCTCCCTCCTCCCTCCTCCCTCCTCCCTCCTCCCTCCTTCCTCTTCCCTCCTCCCTCCTCCCTCATCCCTCCTCCTCCTCCCTCCTCCCTCCTCCCTCCGCTCTCCTACCTCCACCCTCCTCTCTCATTCCTCCTCCCTTCTCCCTCCTCCCTCCTCCCTCCGCCCTCCTACCTCCACCCTCCACCCTCAACCCTCCACCCTCCACCCTCCTCCCTCCTCCATCCACCCTCCAACCTCCACCCTCCACCCTCCTCCCTCCTCCCTCCACCCTCCATCCTCTACCCTCCTCCCTCCTCCCTCCACCCTCCACCCTCCTCCCTCCTCCCTCCTCCCTCCACCCTCCACCCTCCACCCTCCACCCTCCACCCTCCACCCTCCACCCTCCACGCTCCACCCTCCTTCCGCCTCCCTCCTCCCTCCTCCCTCCTCCCTCCTCCCTCCACCGTCCACCCTCCTCCCTCCTCCCTCCTCCCTCCTCCCTCCTCCCTCCACCCTCCACCCTCCACCATCCACCCTCCTCCCTCCACCCTCCACCCTCCACCCTCCACCCTCCTCCCTCCACCCTCCACCCTCCACCCTCCTCCCTCCGCCCTCCGCCCTCCACCCTCCACCCTCCACCCTCCACCCTCCTCCCTCCTCCCTCCTCCCTCCACCCTCCTCCCTCCACCCTCCACCCTCCACCATCCTCCCTCCTCCCTCCACCATCCACCCTCCTCCCTCCTCCCTCTACCCTCCACCCTCCACCCTCAACACCTCCACCCTCCACCCTCCACCCTCCACCCTCCTCCCTCCTCCCTCCACCCTCCATCCTCCACCCTCCACCCTCCACCCTCCTCCCTCCACCCTCCACCCTCCTCCCTCCATCCTCCACCTTCCACCCTCCACCCTCCACCCTCCACCCTCCTCCCTCCTCCCTCCACCTTCCACCCTCCACCCTCAACACCTCCGCCCTCCACCCTCCTCCCTCCTCCCTCCTCCCTCCTCCCTCCTCCCTCCTCCCTCCTCCCTCTTCCCTCCTCCCTCCTCCCTCATCCCTCCTCCCTCCTCCCTCCTCCCTCCTCCCTCCACTCTCCTACCTCCACCCTCCTCCCTCATTCCTCCTCCCTTCTCCCTCCTCCCTCCTCCCTCCGCCCTCCTACCTCCACCCTCCACCCTCAACCCTCCACCCTCCTCCCTCCTCCATCCACCCTCCAACCTCCACCCTCCACCCTCCTCCCTCCTCCCTCCACCCTCCATCCTCTACCCTCCTCCCTCCTCCCTCCACCCTCCACCCTCCACCCTCCACCCTCCTCCCTCCTCCCTCCTCCCTCCACCCTCCACCCTCCACCCTCCACTCTCCACCCTCCACCCTCCACGCTCCACCCTCCTTCCGCCTCCCTCCTCCCTCCTCCCTCCTCCCTCCACCGTCCACCCTCCTCCCTCCTCCCTCCTCCCTCCTCCCTCCTCCCTCAACCCTCCACCCTCCACCCTCCTCCCTCCACCCTCCACCTTCCACCATCGTCCCTCCTCCCTCCACCATCCACCCTCCTCCCTCCACCCTCCACCCTCCACCCTCCTCCCTCCACCCTCCACCCTCCACCCTCCTCCCTCCACCCTCCACCCTCCACCCTCCTCCCTCCGCCCTCCACCCTCCACCCTCCACCCTCCTCCCTCCTCCCTCCTCCCTCCTCCCTCCTCCCTCCTCCCTCCTCCCTCCACCCTCCACCCTCCTCCCTCCTCCCTCCTCCCTCCACCCTCCACCCTCCACCCTCCACCCTCCTCCCTCCACCCTCCACCCTCCACCATCCTTCCTCCTCCCTCCACCATCCACCCTCCTCCCTCCACCCTCCACTCTCCACCCTCCACCCTCCTCCCTCCTCCCTCCTCCCTCCTCCCTCCTCCCTCCGCCCTCCTACCTCAACCCTCCATCCTCAACCCTCCACCCTCCACCCTCCACCCTCCTCCCTCCTCCCTCCACCCTCCACCCTCCACCCTCCACCCTCCAACTTCCACCCTCCACCCTCCTCCCTCCTTCCTCCTCCCTCCACCCTCCTCCCTCCACCCCCCACCTTCCACCCTCCACCCTCCTCCCTCCACCCTCCTCCCTCCACCCTCCACCCTCCTCCCTCCGCCCTCCTACCTCCACCCTCCTCCCTCATCCCTCATCCCTCCTCCCTCCTCCCTCCTCCCTCCTGCCTCCGCCCTCCTACCTCCACCCTCCACCCTCCACCCTCCTCCCTCCTCCCTCCACCCTCCACCCTCCTTCCTCCGCCCTCCTACCTCCACCCTCCTCCCTCATCCCTCCTCCCTCCTCCCTCCTCCCTCCTCCCTCCTCCCTCCTCCCTCCACCCTCCACCCTCCACCCTCCACCCTCCTTCCTCCGCCCTCCTACCTCCACCCTCCTCCCTCATCCCTCCTCCCTCCTCCCTCCTCCCTCCTCCCTCCTTCCTCCTCCCTCCTCCCTCCACCCTCCACCCTCCACCCTCCACCTTCCTCCCTCCTCCCTCCACCCTCAACCCTCCATCCTCTACCCTCCTCCCTCCTCCCTCCTCCCTCCACCTTCCACCCTCCACCCTCCACTCTCCACCCTCTACCCTCCACCCTCCACCCTCATCCCTCATCCCTCCTCCCTCCTCCCTCCTCCCTCCTGCCTCCGCCCTCCTACCTCCACCCTCCACCCTCCACCCTCCTCCCTCCACCCTCCTCCCTCCACCCTCCACCCTCCTTCCTCCGCCCTCCTACCTCCACCCTCCTCCCTCATCCCTCCTCCCTCCTCCCTCCTCCCTCCTCCCTCCTCCCTCCTCCCTCCACCCTCCACCCTCCACCCTCCACCCTCCTTCCTCCGCCCTCCTACCTCCACCCTCCTCCCTCATCCCTCCTCCCTCCTCCCTCCTCCCTCCTCCCTCCTTCCTCCTCCCTCCTCCCTCCACCCTCCACCCTCCACCCTCCACCTTCCTCCCTCCTCCCTCCACCCTCAACCCTCCATCCTCTACCCTCCTCCCTCCTCCCTCCTCCCTCCACCTTCCACCCTCCACCCTCCACTCTCCACCCTCTACCCTCCACCCTCCACCCTCCTCCCTCCTCCCTCCTCCCTCCTCCCTCCTCCCTCCACCCTCCCCCCTCCTCCCTCCTCCCTCCACCCTTTACCCTCCACCGTCCACCCTCCTCCCTCCACCCTCCACCCTCCACCATCCTCCCTCCTCCCTCCACCCTCCACCCTCCTCCCACCTCCCTCCTCCCTCCTCCCTCCACCATCCACCATCCACCCTCCACCCACCCTTCATCCTCCACCCTCCACCGTCTCCACCCTCCTCCCTCCTCCGTCCACCCTCCACCCTCCACCCTCCGCTCTCCTCCTCCACCCTCTACCCTCCTCCCTCCTCCATCCTCCCTCCTCCCTCCACCCTCCACCCTCAACCCTCAACCCTCCACCCTCCTCCCCATCAGTCAACGCCAGTCAACTCCAGTCATCGGCACCGTTGCCATCGCTGCCATTATGGTACGGTATGCATCCCTTTAACTGTACCCGCACTCTCCTTGCATGTGATTCCACCCGTTCTCTCTTTCACTCCTCCATTTCACTGCATCCGCTCTCTCCTTCGCTTCTGTCTGCTGCTGCTGGCTGCTCTATCTGCTACACGGCCTGATTGCTCTTCATACTGCACTCAGAGTGATTTTTCCTCAGTGAGCTGTTCAGTGCGAGTGGAAAGTGTTATTCCTTCCACCCTCTTGTCATTTTCCCTGGTTGACTTGTCATTTTCGTGTTGTTGCCTTTGGCCTTCCCTTCTCGCCTCGTCCCTTATTCATTTCCCTCCTTTCCTCGTCCTGTTTTCCTTGTTCTTATGTCTTCTCCTTGTCTTCTCGCCCTCACAGCCCCGCAGAGCAGCGGCGCCTCCTCCTCACAACCCCTCAGAGCAGCGGCGCCTCTCCCTCACAACCCCCCAGAGCAGCGGCGCCTCCTCCTCACATCCCCCCAGAGCAGCGGCGCCTCCTCCTCACACCCCCCCAGAGCAGCGGCGCCTCTCCCTCACAACCCCCCAGAGCAGCGGCGCCTCCTCCTCACATCCCCCCAGAGCAGCGGCGCCTCTCCCTCACAACCCCCCAGAGCAGCGGCGCCTCTCCCTCACAGCCCCCCAGAGCAGCGGCGCCTCCTCCTCACATCCCCCCAGAGCAGCGGCGCCTTCTCCTCACACCCCCCCAGAGCAGCGGCGCCTCTCCCTCACAACCCCCCAGAGCAGCGGCGCCTCTCCCTCACAACCCCCCAGAGCAGCGGCGCCTCTCCCTCACACCCCCCCAGAGCAGCGGCGCCTCCTCCTCACAACCCGCCGGAGCGTTCTGTTTGCGGCCGTGTGCACTAGACATCAGCCAACCAATGGCACGCCATGCTCATCTGATGGTGGGGAGCTGCAAGGGATGCTGCTGCTTGCTGCTCTCACCCGGGAGGATTTGTCCTCCTCTGGACGACTCACTTTCTGCGTCCACGCTTCTCCTGTAGCTAAGTCTCCTCCCCTCCCTTTCTCCTTCGCTATCTCCATCTCTCTCTTACACTGCAGCAAAATTATGACCCTTGGCGCATGGTGGTGGTGGTCCGTGGTGGTGGTCCGTGGTGGTGGTCCGTGGTGCTATGACGTGAGCCGGAAATCGCAGGGATTGGGAAGATGGACGAGCCATGGCTGCGGAAGGGTAAACGAATGAGAAAGAGGAAAGTAAGCGTGGAGATGAGGGATATATATACTGGGTGACGTGTGGCTCCATTCAGTGCATGACGTCCCCGCCCAACTTGCAATGCTGCTTGCTTAGCACCAATGCTGCAGGTGCTAGCTGCCCGAGTGTATGGATTTCGGGGTACTCATTTGTTCAGATTCAAGCCTTACACTTACCAATCTGGTCATACAACCATTCCCTGCTGGTCCCGACATCACCACGGGAGCTCATGTAGCAATTTAGTGGGAGTGGTGGGATAGAGTAGTGGAGAGGGAGTGCGTTCATGCCATGCGTGCGTCCCCTGTCCTCCTCGCTGGCTCAGCTCGCTGCTCTAGTGCCGTGGGCCACTGTCTCCATGCGCCTTCCCCGTTTCCCCTCTCACACCACTATTCAACTACTCCTTTTTCCGCTGCGCACCATTTTCAAGCTTCTCAATGCTCGCTCTTCACTGCTTCTGCTCTAGTGCCACCTTGACGTTCTTGCTGCTCCCATTCATATCAAGTTCCGACGCCGATCCTTTTCCTGTGCATCTCCTTCTCCCGTTGCCTTGCCCCGCTCTGGCCTCAGGGCGAATGGAGTGCAGGGGGGGGAGAGCCGCACAGCGCTGGCTGCAGCAGCATGGCAGTCAACGCCAGTCAACGCCATCAATGCGAGTCCTCGAAACCCGCGCCCATGCCATCGCTGCCCTTATGGTATGATGCATCACTCACCGCACCCCGATCTCTCCTTCGCTCCTCCGTTTTAGTGCATGTCCCCCAATTCTCGTGCTTGTTTCAATTTTCTCGGTTTTGCTCTCCACTGCTCTAGTGCCCACCCTGAGCTGCTTTCTGCCCGAATCTGAGTTGCTGCTTCCGCTTTCCCCTTCCTTGTCATGCTCGCTGCTTCATTCAATCCGAGGTCATTGCATTGCCTGACCTCTGCCAACTCCAGCAGCCATGCTACCAACACTGACAACAAGCAGCAACCGCTGCAGCAGCAACAGCTGCAGCAGCAACGATAGCATCGGTGGCGGCGGCAAGCCATGGAGCGTTTCGGGGCAGAGCAGATTAAGCATGGAAGCAAAGTCAACGCCAGCCACTTCCCCCGCCTGTTCGCCCTCCCCTTGCCTCACCTACCATTCCCAACTGCGCGCGCCACACATCCACGTTCCCCACTAATTATGCTTCCGCCACTCCCTCGCCTCCTCGTCCCCACCGCCCTCTCCTTTCGTCATCCCGCTTCCTTTCCTTCCGTCTCTTTGTCCCTGTTGCGCTCCATCCCCTCCGCCTCCCGCTCTCACCTCCCCCCTCCTCTTTTCCCCCATTTCCCCATTTCCCCATTCCGCCTCTCCCCGGTTCCCCCATTCGCCCCCAGGCGTGGCGAGCGGCAGTGGCAGCGCGGCAAGCCGCATGGAGGCAGTGAGCGCGCGCCTGCTCGCCATGCAGGAGACGCGGGGAGACGTGGTGGACAGGCGAGGGGAGAATGAGAGCTGATGGGGTGCGAGGCAAGCAGCATGCTCTGCTGTGCACACGCCCTGCCCTGCACGCTGTGGCCCACACGGCCCCATGGCAGCACAGCAAGCTTGCTCCAACCTCCTCCTCTCTCGTGCACCAACCCCGCACTCATGGCAGGTGCTGCTGCGGCACTGGAGCGAGTGCTGGGCGCTCTGCCGGGGCAGCGCGTGCACGCGGGCAGCAAGGAGCCGTGCACTGTAGGGGGGAAGGGCGCGGGGCAGGGGAATGGGGGAGGCAGTGCAGGGGAGGCGGGGGAGAGGGAACACGGGGCAAGCGAGGGGGGCTGGGGAGGGGAAGGCGTGGCGGCGTTTTGCAGCGGAGCGGGGGAGGCTGTGCTGCGGCACATGGATGATGAGGAGCCGCGCGTCAGGTGGGGCGGGATGATGAGCATCAGTGCATCAGCATCAGCATCAGCATCAGCATCAGCGCATCAGCATCAGCATCAGCGCATCAGCATCAGCATCAGCATCAGCGCATCAGCATCAGCATCAGCGCATCAGCATCAGCATCAGCATCAGCGCATCAGCATCAGCATCAGCGCATCAGCATCAGCATCAGCATCAGGGCATCAGCATCAGGGCATCAGCATCGGGGCATCAGCATCAGCATCAGCGCATCAGCATCAGCATCAGCATCAGGGCATCAGCATCAGCATCAGCGCATCAGCATCAGCATCAGCATCAGCATCAGCATCAGCATCGGCATCAGGGCATCAGCATCAGCGCATCAGCATCAGCATCAGCATCAGCGCATCAGCATCAGCATCAGCGCATCAGCGAATCAGCATCAGCATCAGCACATCAGCATCACAGCATCAGCGCATCAGCATCAGCGCATCAGCATCAGCATCAGCATCAGCATCAGCATCAGCATCAGCATCAGCGCATCAGCATCAGCATCAGCATCAGGGCATCAGCATCAGCACCATCGCATCAGCATCAGCGACAGCGCATCAGCGAATCAGCATCAGCATCAGCGCATCAGCATCAGCATCAGCATCAGCGCATCAGCGAATCAGCATCAGCATCAGCGCATCAGCATCAACATCAGCGCATCAGCATCAGCATCAGCGCATCAGCATCAGCATCAGCATCAGCGCATCAGCGAATCAGCATCAGCATCAGCGCATCAGCATCAGCATCAGCGCATCAGCATCAGCATCAGCGCATCAGCATCAGCATCAGCGCATCAGCATCAGCATCAGCATCAGCGCATCAGCATCAGCATCAGCATCAGCATCAGCGCATCAGCATCAGCATCAGCCCATCAGCGAATCAGCATCAGCATCAGCGCATCAGCATCAGCATCAGCATCAGCATCAGCGCATCAGCATCAGCATCAGCGCATCAGCATCAGCATCAGCATCAGCGCATCAGCGAATCAGCATCAGCATCAGCGCATCAGCGCATCAGCATCAGGATCAGCGCATCAGCATCAGCATCAGCGCATCAGCATCAGCATCAGCGCATCAGCATCAGCCTCAGCGCATCAGCATCAGCATCAGCGCATCAGCATCAGCATCAGCGCATCAGCATCAGCATCAGCGCATCAGCATCAGCCTCAGCGCATCAGCATCAGCACCAGCATCAGCATCAGTACATCAGCGAATCAGCATCAGCATTAGCATCGGCATCAGCGCATCAGCATCAGCGCATCAGCATCAGCATCAGTGCATCAGCATCAGCATCAGCGCATCAGCATCAGCATCAGCATCAGCGCATCAGCATCAGCATCAGCATCAGCATCAGCGCATCAGCATCAGCATCAGTATCAGCATCAGCGCATCAGCATCAGCATCAGCGCATCAGCGCATCAGCATCAGCGCATCAGCATCAGCGCATCAGCATCAGCGCATCAGCATCAGCGCATCAGCATCACCGCATCAGCATCAGCGCATCAGCATCAGCATCAGCGCATCAGCATCAGCATCAGCGCATCAGCATCAGCATCAGCGCATCAGCATCAGCATCAGCCTCAGCGCATCAGCATCAGCATCAGCATCAGCATCAGCATCAGCGCATCAGCATCAGCATCAGCATCAGGGCATCAGCATCAGCCTCAGCGCATCAGCATCAGCATCAGCATCAGGGCATCAGCATCAGCATCAGCATCAGCGCATCAGCATCAGCGCATCAGCGAATCAGCATTAGCATCAGCATCAGCATCAGCATCAGTACATCTGCGAATCAGCATCAGCATCAGCATCAGCATCAGCGCATCAGCATCAGCATCAGCATCAGCATCAGCGCATCAGCGAATCAGCATCAGCATCAGCGCATCAGCATCAGCATCAGCGCATCAGCATCAGCATCAGCATCAGCGCATCAGCATCAGCATCAGCACATCAGCATCAGCATCAGCATCAGCATCAGCATCAGCGCATCAGCATCAGCATCAGCGCATCAGCATCAGCATCAGCGCATCAGCATCAGCATCAGCATCAGTACATCACCGAATCAGCATCAGCATCAGCATCAGCATCAGCATCAGCGCATCAGCATCAGCGCATCAGCATCAGCATCAGCGCATCAGCGCATCAGCATCAGCATCAGCATCAGCGCATCAGCATCAGCATCAGCATCAGCGCATCAGCATCAGCATCAGCATCAGCGCATCAGCATCAGCATCAGCGCATCAGCGCATCAGCATCAGCGCATCAGCATCAGCGCATCAGCATCAGCGCATCAGCATCAGCATCAGCGCATCAGCATCAGCATCAGCGCATCAGCATCAGCATCAGCGCATCAGCATCAGCATTAGCCTCAGCGCATCAGCATCAGCATCAGCATCAGCATCAGCATCAGCATCAGGGCATCAGCATCAGCCTCAGCGCATCACCATCAGCATCAGCATCAGGGCATCAGCATCAGCATCAGCATCAGCGCATCAGCATCAGCGCATCAGCGAATCAGCATCAGCATCAGCATCAGCATCAGCATCAGCATCAGTACATCAGCGAATCAGCATCAGCATCAGCATCAGCATCAGCATCAGCGCATCAGCATCAGCATCAGCGCATCAGCATCAGCATCAGCGCATCAGCATCAGCATCAGCATCAGCGCATCAGCATCAGCATCAGCATCAGCGCATCAGCATCAGCATCAGCGCATCAGCATCAGCGCATCAGCATCAGCGCATCAGCATCAGCATCAGCGCATCAGCATCAGCATCAGCGCATCAGCATCAGCATCAGCCTCAGCGCATCAGCATCAGCATCAGCGCATCAGCATCAGCATCAGCGCATCAGCATCAGTATTAGCCTCAGCGCATCAGCATCAGCATCAGCATCAGCATCAGCATCAGGGCATCAGCATCAGCCTCAGCGCATCAGCATCAGCATCAGCATCAGGGCATCAGCATCAGCATCAGCATCAGCGCATCAGCATCAGCGCATCAGCGAATCAGCATCAGCATCAGCATCAGCATCAGCATCAGCATCAGTACATCAGCGAATCAGCATCAGCATCAGCATTAGGGCATCAGCATCAGCATCAGTGCATCAGCATCAGGATCAGCGCATCAGCATCAGTATCAGCATCAGCATTAGCGCATTAGCATCAGCATCAGCGCATCAGCATCAGCATCAGCATCAGCGCATCAGCATCAGCATCAGCATCAGCGCATCAGCGAATCAGCATCAGCATCAGCGCATCAGCATCAGCATCAGCGCATCAGCATCGGCATCAGCGCATCAGCATCAGCATCAGCCTCAGCGCATCAGCATCAGCATCAGCATCAGCGCATCAGCATCAGCATCAGCATCAGCGCATCAGCATCAGCATCAGCGCATCAGCATCAGCGCATCAGCATCAGCGCATCAGCATCAGCATCAGCGCATCAGCATCAGCATCAGCGCATCAGCATCAGCATCAGCCTCAGCGCATCAGCATCAGCATCAGCGCATCAGCATCAGCATCAGCGCATCAGCATCAGTATTAGCCTCAGCGCATCAGCATCAGCATCAGCATCAGCATCAGCATCAGGGCATCAGCATCAGCCTCAGCGCATCAGCATCAGCATCAGGGCATCAGCATCAGCATCAGCATCAGCGCATCAGCATCAGCGCATCAGCGAATCAGCATCAGCATCAGCATCAGCATCAGCATCAGCATCAGTACATCAGCGAATCAGCATCAGCATCAGCATTAGGGCATCAGCATCAGCATCAGTGCATCAGCATCAGGATCAGCGCATCAGCATCAGTATCAGCATCAGCATTAGCGCATTAGCATCAGCATCAGCGCATCAGCATCAGCATCAGCATCAGCGCATCAGCATCAGCATCAGCATCAGCGCATCAGCGAATCAGCATCAGCATCAGCGCATCAGCATCAGCATCAGCGCATCAGCATCGGCATCAGCGCATCAGCATCAGCATCAGCCTCAGCGCATCAGCATCAGCATCAGCATCAGCGCATCAGCATCAGCATCAGCAGCAGCGTCAGCATCAGCATCAGCATCAGGGCATCAGCATCAGCCTCAGCGCATCAGCATCAGCATCAGCATCAGGGCATCAGCATCAGCATCAGCATCAGCGCATCAGCATCAGCGCATCAGCGAATCAGCATCAGCATCAGCATCAGCATCAGCATCAGCATCAGTACATCAGCGAATCAGCATCAGCATCAGCATTAGGGCATCAGCATCAGCATCAGTGCATCAGCATCAGGATCAGCGCATCAGCATCAGTATCAGCATCAGCATTAGCGCATTAGCATCAGCATCAGCGCATCAGCATCAGCATCAGCATCAGCGCATCAGCATCAGCATCAGCATCAGCGCATCAGCGAATCAGCATCAGCATCAGCGCATCAGCATCAGCATCAGCGCATCAGCATCGGCATCAGCGCATCAGCATCAGCATCAGCCTCAGCGCATCAGCATCAGCATCAGCATCAGCGCATCAGCATCAGCATCAGCATCAGCGCATCAGCATCAGCATCAGCGCATCAGCATCAGCATCAGCGCATCAGCATCA